AAAATCACCATTCCCTCCCTCCCTTCCTTCCTCCCTCCCTCCCTCCCTCCCTTCCATTGTTACTGGAAAGGGGACCTGGCCCTGTGCGGGTCTGCCTAGGGCCAGCAGTAGTGTGCGATTCTTGACTTTGTGCAGGAAAGATTTCACAATGAGTTCAGGTGATTTTTAGACTACAGGGCCTTTTATTGTGTGCTTTTTTTAAAAAAAAAAAAAGAAAATTGTATCATTGGGGGAAATTTTGGAAATAACTGGAGGGGAATTAAAAAGTCCCTCAAGAGTAATTTCTCCTATTTCTGTCAGATACCTGAAGGCACTAATAGTACAAGGTCATTTTAAATGGAGTTCAAGGCTTGACGTTTCCTGAGCTCCCAGGCTACAAATACCTGGGAGGATTCTATTTCTGATGAACTCTTTTATTCTGAAAATTACAGCCCTTTGGCATGCCAGCTTTTCATAGGAAACATCTACTATACTACCCATTGTATGTGGGTTTTGACTTCTATCTCATGCAACTTAAAGTAAGGTCTGATTTGCTAGTATCAAGTATGGTTTGCCTTTAGATCAAACGTGGTTTCAAAAATAACGTAGTCCCTCATTATCAGAATGCAGAAGTCACACTCACCCTCTTCTCCCTAACTGAACTTTGTGCTTCCAAAGCCTCATTAATTTACCGCCTCGGGTATTTCCTAGTGCTAGTCTCTCCCGCTAGAAATATGTATTCCTTTCTTTTCGCATCCCCACCGGCCTCTTTTGAGTAACTGCTCATTCTTCTGACTACTGAGGCTTTGTTGAATACTATTTCTCAGAGCTTCCGTAACGCCCAATGCTTCTTCTATCTAGCACTGTGTGTAGCTCCTGCTTATATTGTTCTGCGAGGGCCAGATCTTATGCATCTCATAACTATAAACGCAAGATAGCCCTAGTCCATTTGGCTCAGTGATTACAGCATCGGTCCAGGGACTAAAGGGTCTCGGGTTCAATTCTGGTCAAGGACACGTACCTCAGTTGCAGGCTCAATTTTGGGAGGAGACCAATCAATGTGTCTCTCTCACACCAATGTTTCTCTTTTTTAAAAAAATATTTTTATTGATATCAGAGAGGAAGGGGGAGGGGGGAAAGAGAGATAGAAACATCAACGAGAATCATTGATCGGCTGCCTCCTGCACACCCCCTGTAGATCGAGCCAGAAACCTGGGCATGTGCCCTGACTGGGAATTGAACCTTGACCTCCTGGTTCATAGGTCGATGCTCAACCACTGAGCCACACCGGCTGGGCCACTCTCTTAAAAAAAGGGGGCATGGGGTGTAATATATCATCGTAGTTAAGAATGTGGCATCTGCAACCAGAGTGACTAGGTCTGAATCCATCCTACCTACCACTGTGAACGTAACCTCTCTCTTCCCGTTTTCCAATCTGCAAAGTGGAACAATGGAAGAAGCCTGCCTCACAGGATTATGAAGAAATGAGTTAAAGTATGTGTTAGTGTCCATGTAAATGCTTAGAACTATGTTCATGCATAGAAAGTGCCCCAAGTGTTGGCCAGTTTTATTACTGAGGTCTCAGTTCATAGCACTTCTTAGGCACCCAATTATTGAATATTTGTCTATTTTTATTAATCAACATGATTCCCAAGCAGCTCTGGCTATGAGTTGGTGGAGTGAGGATTTGCCTGAGCCACTCTTCCCCTGAAAATCCCACCCACTGATTCCCTTGAGCCCTCCATGAAGAGGACAGACTATTTCTCTCAGGTCTCCCCACTAAGTTCTGCTAGGGAGGTGAAGAGCAAGGGTCCAGAGGAAAGACCACTGAACCTGGACTGAGGTTTCTAGCTCTACAACTTGCTGTGGGCCTTCAGCTAGACAGCTAAATTTTATAGGATTCTTTCCACATCCTCACCCATCCTGCTGTCCCCTGGACTGCTCGGTGTAAAACAATGCCCTCCTCCACTACTGGTTCAAAATTCACTTAGTCTCCAAGACATACCTTACATGCCATCTCTTGCCCACGGTGCAGCCCGCCTCCATATTATTGCTCCCTGCTTGTAACTTACAGTTGTAAACTAAGTGCTAGCATAGCAAGCTTATGCAACTATTGCTTTAATGAATTTCTTAAACTTTAGGATACATGTGAACAAATCAACTGTAATATAAAATTGTTTACCATTTAATAAATATGCTGGAAACCACCCAAGAGACTGAATGAAGCTTTCAGTTCCAAAGCTTTAAATCAAGTAGCCCTTTCAGTTCATATAAACTCACATGTCCAGGAACATTGTGGGCTCACAAGTAGGCACTGCTGGCATGGTGAGTGTTCACCCTTTGATTAACATCGTATCTTCTTTCTTCACATACACAAATTTCCCCAAAGGGAAAGATTTTAAAAAATATTACCATTTGGGCAACATATTAAATAACTCAAAATATGTAAGTTCTAAGCCTTCTGAAGCCAAGCCATGTTGTATACTAATATACTCAATACAGTAACATAATTTTTAAAATTTTTCAGTTATCTGAATTGATAGCTTTCACTTATCACCAGGATACAATAAAAGTATTTTAAAGTTACCAGCTACACCCGGCTGGCATGGCTCAATAGTTGAGTATCGAACTATGAACCAGGAAGTCATGGTTTGATTTCCAGTCAGGGCACATGCCTGGGTAGCGGGCTCAATCCCCAGTGGGTCAACCCCCAATGAGGGGCTAGCAGGAGGCAGCTGATCAATAATTCTCGCTCATCATTCATGTTTCTCTTTTTCTCTCTCCCTTCCTCTCTGAAATCACTAGAAATATACAGTGGGGCCTTGACTTACGAGTGTCCCGACTAACGAGTTTTTTGAAATACCAGCTGTCTCTCGGCTGATTTTTTGCATTGAGTTGATAGAGTAATTTGAGTTAATGAGCTCCTTAACGAGCTCAGTCTCGGAACGAATTAAAACTCGTAAGTCAAGGCCCCACTGTATGTTTTAAAAACAATTACCAGCTGCACTTAATGAGCTGTCCTTGGTCAAGGTTAGAATGAGGGAATGAGAAGATGACTAGGAAAAGGTTTGATGGAGAAAATCTGAAGATCCTGTCCCATATCTCTGCAGAAATGTAGAACCACCGCAGAGGATTTGGGGAAGGGCCCCAGAAGCAAAGGGCTGTTTTATATAGTACTTGATTTTGACAATGATTTACAGACAAGCCAACCAGGGTGGAGAAAAGATAGGGAATAAAGAAGTTGCAAATAGCTTAGATCAGTGGTTCTCAACCTTCTGGCTCTTTAAATACAGTTCCTCATGTTGTGACCCAACCATAAATTTATTTTCGTTGCTACTTCATAACTGTAATGTTGCTACTGTCATGAATAGTAATGTAAATATCTGATATGCAGGATGGTCTTAGGCGATCCCTGTGAAAGGGTCGTTCGACCGCCAAAGGGGTCAAGACCCACAGGTTGAAAACCGCTGGCTTAGATGAACATGTTTCTAAGCAATAAATGTACTAAAAAAGAAAGTTTTAGGATTATGTCAACTTCAAATGAGAAGCCTGCTGGTGATATCTGGCTCTGGAGATGGATAATGTCTTTCTTTAACCCCCTTTCTTCAAAAAAAAAAAAGGAGGGAGAGCACCTTCCTAGATATTTGACATGAAGAATCTCTTAATCCAGGAAGCAAAAGTTTACTCCACAATTGGGACCTCTTATTGAATATGTAGGCAAAAACGGTCACCACAGTGCCCATCAGGATGGCATTTGAAGCAAAGCCCAGGGCCTCCAGGAAGTAGTAGGAGTAGCACAAACTGAAGAAGGAGGCCCAGAGGTGAGATGCCAGATTAGTGCCTAAATCCCTGAAAGACAAAACCATCAGTCTGGATCAACAGAATAACCCAAAAATCCATCTCAGTAAAACATACCTTTTAGATATGCACATATGTAGTTTGTGATCTATGGCACATATAAAAATTAGAAAAACAGCCATTGCAGTAGCCCATGTAGAATACAGTGGGGAAATGGTAATTGCTCTTACATGGCTATAGCTTCCCTTCATCTAACCTTTCATCTTACTAACCTTAAGTGTTCACTCTTCAAAGAGGATCTTTTCATTTCTTTTGAGTAAACATTAGTCAGCTGCTTCCCCGAGTACACATGGGTGAGACCTTAATGGAAAGACAATATAAAGACAATCTAATAGTATCGTAAGTTTCAACCCAAGAGGAATAGTTAGCAGCAGCAATGACTGAGTTGTATGATCTCTCCTTTCTCTCCATCCCACACCCATCACCACCTGAGGGTAAATTAGTGAGGGCAGGGATAAACTGGTACAAGGCCCCCTACGTAAAACCTGCCCCAACTCTATTCTGAGAAAGAAAACCCCTTAACTGCCAATACAAAAGCACTGCTGCTTCAACAGGACCAACACTCACTTGCCAAGATATGGGGCTATATTTACAAATTTTATTATTTTTTTATCCCAAAAATACATATAAATGAAAACCTGCTCTTCAAATGCAGGGAGACTTTACCTATAATGTAGCATTACATTTACATCACAAAACATCCTCATATGAAAATCAGTTGAAGCTCTTTCATACACAATTAGATATATATTCACACTATATATATGTAAGTAGTTATGAATTATCTACTTACACAGATTCCTTTAGTGGAAAATTAGGAAATTCCCATGCTTTCCAGCCTTGGGAAGGTAAATACAACCTCTCTAGATGTTTTTAAAAAGATGAAACATGTAAACTACACAACCTCCTTTAGACATGTACACATGTTGCTAGAAGAGAGCAAGGACCCGGCCACATAAATAGTGTGTTTCTCAAAAGAGAAAGAGATAACATTTGAATAAAAATGCAAAGTTGAAGAACAGATAAGATGGTCAAAATTGTTATGTACACGCTCCATGGAGAAATGAGAATTCTCTCACAGGAAACAGATCCTTGATGCATCTCAGCCTCTCGTGACATTAAATCGGCCCCCACTGGCAGTAGTCATGATCTTCCTGTACAGTCAAATGCTTAAGCATGCTCCTTAAAGCATCTGTTTAGGTCCAACAGTCAATAATGATGAGGTCATGTGGTAAATTCCCACCCCCACCCCCCCAAAAAAAGAAGTGCAAAATCAACTTCTGTGACTCAAGAGCTCAACCAGGTCAAAGCTTTGGTATATACAGGAGGCTGTTTTGGTGATAACCAAAGCTTAGAAAGATTCTGTTAAGGGATTTGCCCCAGGAACAAAAACAAAACAAACCCAGTCCACAAAGCCTATAAATAAAGTAACTGTACAAAGAGAACAAGCCACAATTCCCCTTTAGACAAGGGTTTATAGTTTCCTAGGCAGCAGTTCTGAAAGCACCAACTAAAGCCACAATGCTTCTACGAGAACACAATGTGTTGGTGAGACTGTTCTGAAAACATATGCCCACAGGCAAGTGGCTAATGTGCCACAGAAAAAAGTTCAAACACAAGTCAGTTTTCTTACGTTAAAACATAAGCTGGTCAGCAACCGAAGAGAGACTTAAGGCAATAAGAGGCATTACAAAGAGCGCCACGGTGCTCGAGTCAATCACAAAGCCTTCGCAGAAAGGAAAGGTCTCTCAAGAGTTTGGGTTGTTTATTAGTTTGCTAGCTGTCAGATACTTCTTCCTCCTCCTCTTCATCCTCATCTTCTTTCCTGTCTACTTCAGAGGTGTCA